AGAAACAATACCATGGGATCACAATCCCGAAAGAGACATAGAATATAGATACAAAAACCATGGGATCACTATCCCGAACGAAATAAAGATCCTGAACCCAAACTGTGAATAAGCTGGTATTAATACATATTGTGAGTCGGGTAACCATACTAATACGACAACGTGACCTCCTTGACGTTTGTCAGACGTCGAACAATATCTAGAAATTTGTCACCCTAGGCGTGCCCGCCTAACTGTAGCTAGCAGTTAAGGTGTGGGATTGTCAGTCCCGAATAGATCTATTCACAAATTCCGCGCTCTCCCTCCAGGAGACTCTTTACACTTCGGGAGAGGATTTACTGATCATCCATAAAGGGTAGTGACTATCTCACAAGCTAGTACTAAACTATTCACAGGGTTCTTATAAGATATGACATACAGAAAGTTATGAAACATAGTACAGTAAAGTATAGATACATACATGAAATCATCGGATAATACATTCAAATGATACGGAGATAAACTGAACAGACATAGTTTATCTAATAATTTAGTATAAGATATCAGTATACGATAGAAAGAACAGTAAAGACCCCCAAATTATTCCCATAATAATTTGATTAGTTTGATTGTTTCTTAACTAAAATCCATTTAGTTGAAATCGAGTAGTCATTCCTTATGCTCAGCATAATACATAAGGAGTAAAAGAGTTTATAGATTTGTCATATATTGTTTGAACACATCAATGTTGTGATGGAAACGGTTATGTTTGCTTGTATTCCCCCCCCCCCCCTGAAAACATTGAAAACAGTGAAAAAGCCGTAGGGGTATGAACTCACCGAACGAGTACGAGACTTTGGATGCTAAGAGTTGAGCCGGGACTTGTAAAACGCACGAGGTTCCTAATTATGAAGTAAAGATACACATTTGTATCTAATTAGGACTTAGATTGATTGTCGGATAGGGACAATTGCTTCAGGTCGCGATAACACTCCGATACAAGTGTTTGGTGGGACTCGGGTGGCGTTTAGGGACATGAATGGCACAAGGGACTTGGGAAATGAGTTGGGACATCAAAGGAACACTCCCATTAAGGGAGTTTACGGCCAAAACACCCTTCCCCATGAGTTTACGGCCGTAAACTCATGATGGGTGTTTTATGGTGCCTTTTGGACTTCCAACACTTAGGAGATAATTTCTAGACTAGGTTTAAGGACTTGGAATGATTTAAAACATCAATTTGACCCCCTTTAAGGGAGTTTACGGCCTAGCATAGTTCCATGGCTGTAAACCCCTATTTTTCCAAGAAAATGATGTTAAATGGTGCTAGAACAAATCAC